GGGCCGCGGCCTCACGCGCACTTTCCTCTCTCTCCCACCCGTGTTGCAGCCTACGGGATCAACAGTATCCTCTACCAGCGGGGCATCTACCCCCCCGAGACCTTCACCCACGCCCAGAAGTACGGGCTCACCCTCCTCGTCACCACCGACCCCGAGCTGAAGAACTACCTCAACAACGTGGTGGAGCAGATGAAAGGTGGCGGGGCGCGGGGGGGCTGGGCCAGGACGCAGGGCTAAGGGGGCCTCTGTAAGCAGCCGAGTTAGTGCCGCTGGCGGGAGCCTGCAGTGTTCTTGTGTCTCTGTCCTGTGGCGCGCTTCTCTTGGCGCTGTAAGTAACTGCTGTGGCTCTTTTCAGAGTGGCTGTACAAGTGCATTGTGCAGCGCCTGGTGGTGGTTATCTCCAGTATTGAAAACAACGAGGTTCTGGAGCGGTGGCAGTTTGACATAGAGTGTGACAAAAGTGCGAAGGATGAGAGGTGAGTGACTGTTCCTCTGTACCTGCTCTTCCCTATGCCAAGCAGCTGTGTAGGTACAAGACAAAGGCCATGTACAGCCATACAGCTCTGGTTTCCTCAGCGCAGCTGAGACAGCCTCTCCTCAGTAGGAGCATGGCACATGTTCCTTCAAACCTTACCAAACCTACTACCTTTCTTGCTGCTGTTCCTTTTGTTTGTCTGTAAACCAGTCATTGTGTGATTGAAGCACACATACTCCTCAGGTGTTGATTTTTAAATTTATTTTTTTAAGCATCAGATTAAAATTCAAGTTTTGATTTTCACCAAAGTATATAAAATCCTCTAGCAGGTATATGCCCTTAAGATTTACTGTTCTGTTGTTATGCCAAAATGTTCTCATTCATTCCAGACTGAGAATAAATGTAACATTCCCTGCAAATGCTATGAAGCTTCACAACCAACAATAAAGTGAAACTGTTAATCACTTTTTCTAAGCCTATCTACCTAAGACTTAAGAGAGTATCCTACTGCACAAAATCATGAGGCAAGGAGACCAACAGCAGCTTAATAGAGAGAACTGCACTTAAAGAAAACTGTCAGTGCAGCAGAAGCTTGCATTCTTAAGAGTCTTCCTGTTTCTCCAGTGCACCCCGAGAAAAATCTCAGAAAGCTATTCAGGATGAAATTCGATCTGTTATCAGACAAATAACCGCCACAGTAACATTTCTGCCACTGTTGGAGACTGCCTGTGAGTATTCCTAACTTCACCAAAGAAATCAAGTGTTTCTTTTGGAAAAACCTAACAAACTTTTTCTAATTTAGAAATGTAATAACTAAAATTAGCAGAAAACATGAAATGTCATGTACCATCATGTTTCTAAGACAGCATTTTGTTAGACTGAGATCATCTCTTGCAGTTGTGTACAGTATGGAAAACAGTATGTCAGGTCAAATTAGTGTTTCCTGTACAACAAACAGTAAAAACAACTAAATATAAGTACTATGCTACGGCTCTCATTAAAGAACTTGGAGCAACTTCATTTAAAGGGACTAGTGGTACTTTCTCCCCCAAATACTTAAAGCTTCTATTGTCAGAAGGACAGAGCTCAAGGTGGGGTGGCTTAACTTGGCTTAATGAAAATAATGTATGTACTCTGAGGAATACAAGTCTTCATAAATAACATTATTTTGTGACTCTAGCTGTGGACAGGCTAGTATAATTGGTGAACTATTGAGTTCATATGAAGTATTACATAAAGCTCAGCACCAGGTCATTATAATGTAATTAAAAAAAATAATCACATCACACTTGCTTAAGGAGAACTAACATGGCTACACATGAATGTAACCAGGACTTGTTTTCATGCTTTAACTACCGTTTCTTTTCACATAACTAGTATCAGTGTAATTTCTGAACCTTGCTATATGCTGTAAGTTCCAGAAGATGCACTTTATGTTCAAACACACCATTTTTTTATGCATGCATTACTGTTAACATGTTCCTGCTTGCTTACAGGTGCTTTTGACTTGCTGATATACACAGATAAAGATTTGGCAGTGCCAGAGAAGTGGGAAGAGTCAGGACCACAGTTCATAGCTAATTCAGAAGAGGTTCGTCTTCGTTCCTTCACTACTACGATCCACAAAGTAAATAGCATAGTGGCTTACAAAAAGGACTCCGTTCCCTAAGATGTGAGGTGTTTTTTAATATATCCTTGTTTCCTTGTATAGTTCTGTTCATAGTGCAGCTAAGTCATGAATGCATCATTACTGTTCCTGCCAAAGTAAGATCCAGAAAAAAGGCAAAGGGTTTGCCTATGACAGATAATGTGGTGTAACACTAGACTAAGCTGGCACTGTTTTTAAAGAGGCCTAAATAAGGTATTCATAGTGATAGTTAAATTTTTTCTTAACTGTCTGAGCCCAACTAATGGTGTGTTAAACTACCACATTGGCTAGAAAAACTGCCTAAATACAGTATTAGTTTTGCTAGAATTAGGTTCAGATCTTGTAACTTATTATTTTAAGATTATCATAAACTGCATTCTACCAGCAGGCTTTGGTTCTCTCTAGCAGTTAAAAAAAAAAAAATCTTACTCCTGATGTGCCAGTTTCTGTTGAAAGCCTGGGCTGTTTTATTACCAGAAATAATTCTAAAATGAATCAAAAGAACAATTCTGAAGTTACTTGTACCTCTTTACAATGAAAGCAGCTGTTTATTGGGAAAATTTAAAAATATATGAAGCCTTCTATGTTAGTAACTGCTGGACTCTAGTTCTGGGGATGGTGGTATTCTAAGTTGGTGTATGTCTCTAGTGTCTGTCAAGCATTTTCTATGTCTGTATTCTTGTTTTATAGAATAAAGCTTAAAATTGTATAGTGTTCTCTAATTCAGAGTCTGCAGTACTTTGTATTTTAGATGTTTTTACTAATTCTGCATCTTAGTTTAATAACTGTGAGCTGGCACAGGCAAGACACAGGAATACCCACAAAACGACAGCTGAAATGCAGAGAGCAGATTTATTCTTGTTACCTTGTGAACTCTGAAATGGCACCTGGGTAGAGACATGCAAGCGGTGATATAGACATTGCAGAGCTTGGCTCTTGCTAGAGTGTGAGATTTTGAACCTCCTGCTTTTCCCTGTATATCAGTCTTTTACATGTATAGTTTTCCACTGTTGTGCTTTGATCTTTCCCACAGGACAGGAACCTCAAGCATGTTTGATAGGGTGCCTCTGAGTGCATCCAAGTAGAGGTTCTACTTGTCAAGCATAGATTAAACAGCAACTAGTATACTACATGTTTTTTGACACCCCAGCTGCATGCCATTTGAGCACAATTCTCCTCACCCATCTTCCATTATTATCCCACACTGTCATAGAAATAACGGCAGCATTGGAATCACTAAGACATCTAAGAGCATCAAGTCCAACTGTCAACCCAGCACCAAGCTCACTAAACCATGTCCCAGAATGCCACATCTGTTTTCTGAATACCTCCATGGATGGTGACTCCACCCCCTCTCTGGGCAGCCTGTTCTACTGCTCAACCACTCTTTCAGCAAAGAAATTTTTCCTAATACCTCATCTGAAACCTCCCCATGTATGACTTGAGGCCACTTCCTCTCATCCTACAGCTAGTTACCTGGGAGAAGAAACCAAGACCCACCTTGGTACAACCTACCTTTCAGGTAGTTGTAGAGACCTTGAAGGCATCCTACTCAACAAAATTGAGAGTTGTTCATGGTTTGGTTTTTCCTTTTAACTGTTTCTTCGGAATCTCAAAACAAGTGTTGTAGAATCAGCATAAAATCCATTCATGGTTTAATATTTTGCCCCCACTTAAGTCTTCAAATAACAGAATAATAGTCACAGTAACCTAATGATTAAGGACAGTGTCCCCTTCCAAATTTGTTAAAACAGCATAGGGCCATTTGTACTGGAAGAAGTTAGGGATTTAAAACTAGAGATGTTAATATATACTAAGTTTCAGGTGCATCCCTGTGTTCATTTCTTTCACCAAATTCACTTCAGCCAGAGCATTTAACTATTCCCACTCTAGAAGAGTGATACAACAGGAAGAGTGACATAACAGTAAAATTTCAAAAGTTTATTTAAAAAACATTGGTTATACATAGTCTATCACTGCATTACAGTTTAGAGGCCTTCTGACTAGGAAATGACTCACAAAAAGTTCTCTTTATAATTCAGGAGCACAAAATCATGGCTTTTAAAAATAAATACAATCTAAGTACTCCAAGAAAATGTTACATTATTCACTCTTAGGACTCACACCGCAGTAACAGAGGAATAACTAGTGTTTTCTTCTGCCTGCCAGTGATATTCTTGAACAGGTGACTGCTCTACCTCTTTACACCTAGAAGGAGGTGCATTTCAAGAAGCACAACTTCAAGCACTTCCCCTGGAGAGGACTGGATGAAAGCACTGAGTACAAGTCAGCTGTAATAGAAATTTAAATCAGGAAATGACCACCATTGCTTTATACCAAAAATGAGATCAGAAAGTGACTGTACAGAGCCAGCAGCAGAGTGAAAAACTTGTTTCACAAAGATGCAGAAGTCAGACTGCACCAGGAACTTCAAGTCACCTTTTTCTTGTACCAAATACACCACTTCTTCAAGAAGAACCAGCCCAATGAGCATCTCCATTATTATCTATATTTTCTTTTATAAAGCCACCAATGGTCAAGAGTTGCAGTATATCATTGTACAGAGCCAATGTCCATGGGAAAGAAACTGCCTATAAATCCTGAAGTACTCACAAAGACCCTGCAGAATGGGGGGAATCAAACCAAATCACAACAGTCACTCCAATGCAACCCCCCAGAAGTCAAGCCTTTAAGAGAGGTGTCCAGTAAGATTTGCTGATACTTAACAGGACCCACACTACTCCTTAGTTTCCTCTACCTTGAGGGTCACTTCTGTAGAGTGAAGAATCAAAACCAAAGGAATCGCCAATCTCTGATAAGATTTAGGAGTTACACAACAGGCATTCCTCACCTGACTAGTTCAGCTGACGTATGAGCTGGTTGATTGTTTCACCTCTGTAGCCTGGTTTACCCATTTCCTTGAGGAAGCCCACTTTGTTGCGTGAAGCATGGCGAGCCACTGACAGATGGAATGGCCAGAGAAAGTTTGTGACTCTTCTGAAAGATTTCCCAGCTGAGTAGATTTCATGAATAAGGTCTTCCAGGCAAATAATACCACAGTGCCCTGCAGGAAAATATAGTAAAATTAAGAAACAAAAACAAACCAGCAAAACCCCTCACAAACAATGTATACATGAGATGTTCAACTGTAGTATCTTTCTTCACACTTCCCCAGAATTGCCAGTCCTCCATATACAAGCCTTGCAAGATTTCTCTCCCTCCCGTCCCTCTGAGCTCAGATTGCAAACTCTCAACATCTCCCTCTTCTCTTGATTCACTTTATTTTCTTATCCTTTCCTCACCTAAATGTTCCTCTATAAGCATATTGTCTGTCAGAGGCATCCTCTTCCTCTTAATCTTGGCTTGGCCCCGTTTCAGGATGAGCTCTCGAACAGATTTCAGGTTAGGGTGTCTGAACATACACAAAAATCAGATTCTGTAACAGAGAGACATGATGCAGCAAGAAGTCCCACCCTACATCTTCATACAGAGGTGGGAAAGCAACCAAGTTACATTTAGAGAGGAGCAATAACAAATCTTAGATATAAAGCTGACAGAGTTTTGACCACTACTGGAAAAGCCAGCTATGGATTTGTGATACCAGATGGAGAATCAAAAAGCTATGATACTTAGACTGAATCTACTATCCAGTCATGGGACTGGCACTTACCCCCATGCCACGTAAGGTTCCACAATCCTCAGCATCTTCAGTGATAACGGATTCAGTTTAACAAATGTTCCAGTGAAATTTTTTCTCAGCCGCAGCAATTCAATCACTCTTTTTACTCTCCTACTCACTCCCTTAATACTGAGTCAGAAAAATAATACAGCATGTAGTTTACAGTAACCACATTTCTGTAGTACAGTAAAAAAATGCATCAGATTATCTGCAAGGAGACAAGTTGGGGTTGATCACGCTTCCTTTGCTTAGAAATCATATGACAGCTACAAATACTAGCAATAATAAAGGTAAAGAGTAACAAAACTTACTCTACAATCCGCACAACAAAGGCTAGTTTGTGCTCCTGAGGCGCAGCTGTCTGTCCAGGTCTCTGCTCCATGCGCCTCAGCCGGACATTGTCTCGGTGTTTGCGCCATGAATCTCGAACAAAAGTCTCAAGGCGTTTAAACTGGATTTGTTTCCCCTTCTGATGCTAAAGACAAAAGGATAAGAAATTATTGCCCTTCACAACAGTCTCAGAGGCTTGTATCTCAGAGTCAAAATGAAATCCAGAACTTGATGAATTATGCTCTTCCAGTTTTGGAAGCAGTAAGAAGAAAATAAGTTAGATAATCTAAGCCCAAAAGAGATATAACTGAGGGTCAATGTATGAATTTACAAACTTCAAGCAGTTAGCTGTAATCTATGAACACTGAACAGAGAATCTTCTTTGTCAGAAAAGAATAATTAGGAAAAACAGAGCGAGATCCAGGGTACTCCTAGGTATAGGAGAAATCAAATGGAAGCACTTACATCCACAGACAGACATATCCACAACCACATACACAGCTCAGTCAATCACCAGGAAAGCCAGAAACAACATATGTATCTGGGTAAAAGAGATGCTACAGCAATAGCCTAGCATGACTCAAAAATCCTATCCAACAGAAAATAACTGGGTTTGAAGTCTTTTCCTATAAAGGCGCACACACACACACAGACACCCAAACATTCAAATAACTGTTACGTATTAATAATTTAAACACAAAAAATTCAGCTCACTTTAAAAAAGCCAACTTTTCAGAATTATGTGAAAATTTAAAGCATTTTTAAATTAAGATGATGTTTAAATTACTATGCTTTGCTTAGGAACAAGTTCATATACCTAAATCCCCTCTCATATGAATAGGAGCTGAATGCAGGTGACAGTTATCCAATAATATGTTAGATAACTACTACCTAAACTATTAGGCTATTTTAGAAATAAAGAGTCTATTGTTATGTGTCTTCTGTTCTATTTCACCTTACAAATCACTCATGAAATTGCCTTGAATTTTCAAAGCAGGTATACTTGATAAAAATCTAATTACTAGGGTCATTTTTCTAAGAAGAATCTTAAAAGGCTTTCTGCAATTTAACATTTTTGTTTATGCTTCCACTTCCACCTTAGAAATACAACAAGCCATTC